TTCATTAACTGTACCATGATCTAGACTTGGGCCGGCTGTGGCTTCCCAAGGACTCCTGCCTGTTTCAAGCACAGTATCTCATTTGCACTTCCAGAGGTCCCAACACCACGTCTTTCAGTCTGAGTGTGCCACTGTTTCCTCTGCCAGGAGTTCTGTTAGGTCACATCTAGGTAGGGCTTTGTGGGCCCTGCCTTCGACACACAGAGGGTCTCTATGACGAGGGTACTGTTTGGTGGCCAGGGAAATGTTCACTCTAAGAGCATCTCCTGAATTGTAGTATATATGCAAGCTCCAGTTCTCTCTAACAGTAGGAGCATTGATACCAACCAGCAGCTTGCCTGCCGTAATGTTTTCAATTCAAATGTTACAGACTCTGTGGCCTTGACGGTGTCATCTGCATGATCTTCTTATTCAAAATGAAGTCTATGCATCTGCATTCCCCGGAGCCTATCCAGTCTTGTTAAGTCTTGGTCTGCATTTTAGCAAGGCCCCTGACTGATTTGTAGGGACAATCAGGTTTAAGAAATGCTCCCCAAAAGACGTCATGCTTCCTTCCCTATGCATGCCCGGTGAAGCATCTGGGGTGATTTGATGCACCCACAGAATCATTTAAATGTAGAGAACACAGAAGCAGTGAGTGTCAACTACATGACTACATCTCGTTCTCGCCCCCAACCCCCTTTTTTGATTGTCTTTTTTGAAACAGGGTTTGTCTGTGTAACAGCCCAAGCTATCCTGGAACTCCCTTTGTAGACCAGGATGGCCTTGAACTCACAGAGATCTGCCCACCTCTGCCTCCCAAGTGCTTGGATTAAAGGCATGTGCCACCATCTCCTGGCTCTTTTCTTTTTATAGAAATGGGATGTGCCATTGTGAAGGTTTGAAGAAAAGGTGTTGTTTGGGCCCATGGAGAAACTTGCAACCGAGTCCCGTGAACTGCTGAGTGAGGCCTGCCTAACTTCCTGAAGTCCTCTGCTCAAGGCTGAGGGAGTTTCTCGAGGATTAGAGAGCTGACTCTGCAATCCGGGAAGGCCAGACCCACTTGTCTGCTTGTCTAGGTCAATTACAAGTCCAGGGAAGAAATAGTAAAGGCCACCAGGAAGGTCCATCTCCTCCTGTCTTTTATAAGAGGATCATTTTGCATGGAGGGACAGTGAGTAGTGGGGTTTGGGTCTCATCTGGCAGGATCAGGTACAAATGATAAATCCTAGCATGCGTTACCAAGAGTAGCAGCCAGAGACTCGGTGTGTTTATTTGATTCATTTGTATCAAGGAGGTGGGTTTATTGTAAGCAGCTGAACAAAAGGGCAGGTTCAGCTTGGGGGGGGGGGATCTCTTTCCGGGAGCAGTGTCAGTAAATATCGGGAAGAGGAGGCTTCTGCTGGCACTTTCTTCATACATTGTCAGCATCTGCGCCAGGTCATGGAGCAGGGGGAGGTTTTGCCATTCCCGGGAGTGGGGTCCTGGGGTCCTTGACATGGCTGTGCTCTTGTCAACAGCACACATTGACACAGGAGGGCATCTGCTCCCCAGAGGCGTGGATCCTGTTCCATGGTCCTTGAACACCTGAGTCAGCTGACAGAATTGCACCCAAGAGTAAGAGGGAAGTGACTGCGATCCAGACACCTTGCAGGAGAGGCATGACGCCAGCCTGCCTTTGCCCTCTGAGGAGCTACGTATGCACTTCTTCGCTGACTTCATCCTATAACTGGATGTACCTCTAAGCATAATGGTCTCAAACTGTTGAGCACAACAAAGACACAGTTTATGTTTTGAGGTCCCCTCCTCCCTGCTCAAATGTGCTGACCCCCATAGTGAGCTGTCACCTGTCACTTGTCAGTGTTCCTGCCTCAGAGTTGCTCTCAAGAGCAAGACAGACAAGCATGCTTGGTACCTTGGGGTCACGTGTTGCCTTCAAATCCTTCCTTCCTTCTCTTGCTGCTGGCTGGATCCCTGATAAACCCCCTCCACCCCCTGGGGAGTGAAGCTAGCAAGTGAGTCTTTGGTCTGTGTGTAAGTGGTATGTCAGAAACTGCGAGAAGAACGGTTCTGCCCTCAAGGAGCTCGTGTGCTTTCTGAGAAGACAAGACCAATCCACAGAAAGGAGACAGGAGCTGGAAAACCACAGTCTGAAGAGACCACACATTTGCTAAGGTGTGGAATAAAGGTGTGACAGGGTCAGTGTCTTACATACAGGTGAATAAGGCCAGGGCCAGGTGAGCAAGGCAAGGGCCTTCATGTGGGAGGGGTTATTTGTGACAGAAATCAGGGGCCACTACTCTGGACCATCACTGGAGTCTGAGAGCAGATTCCTTGTGGGCTCAGGGAGATTCCAGCTAGGAGCAGGCCCCTTTGCTCTGCAGTAAGAGCTCCCTGGGAAGAGAGGACAGCAGCAAAGGCTTGATGGGGTGCTGACTGGGGGTGCTCCCAAGAGGCAGGGCTCCTGAACATGATGGATTGCTTTCTGTGTGCTGCAAACCCTCCCACCTGTAGGGAAATGGCTTAGAACAGGTACAAGAATTTAAACTGTCAAATTGTTTGCTAACTTGGGCTGCGAGTGGGAAGTGAGCTGGGGAGGGGTCTATGCTCTCCTACAGAACTACAGGGAATCTCACTAGGTGCACGCATGTGACTCCTCCACAGGTCTGAGGACTTGAGGTTCACTGAGGCTCACTGCCATCTTCCTCACCGTAGTCCTGACCTCTCCCATCATGTCTCCTCCATTTCCTAGTCATAGCAGTTTCTGAAAGCCAGGCTACCCTTCTCCTCAACAAAGACATCTCCTTTCCGGGCTCCTCTCCCATATACAGTATTCCCTCAGCCATGCCCCAAGTAAAAGTTAACCTTTCCACCTATGAGAGGCAGCCTGCCTTGTCTATAAGCAGCAATGAAATCAGCAAGACATGGCTAACTGAAGGTTGACCTGAAAAGCTGGGAGAATGGACCAGGCTAAAAAAGCACATCCAGGACCATCTGAGTGTGGTTCTTCCCTGGAGAAAGATGTTCATCCAGGTAAGAGTCTGCAGCCTTGCCCGAGGGTAGAAGGGAGGACAGGGTGGAGGGCTGGAGGTGAGAGGTGCCTACCTGTCTGGGACCAGGATGATAGGCGGGGTTAGATGTTAGCTCAAGGGAGGTGTCCTTTTGCGCTCTAAGAGTGGGAACATAAACGGTAGAAGGGCACGGTGGCCATTCCTGCAAACAACAGATAGCCTAGAGAGTCCAATTATGATATGAAAGGTTTCTGGGTAGTAGGTGGGAGAGGGACTGGATGGGGTTTGCAGAAGGTAAACAGGAGAGAGAGGCTCTCCGTGTACAGCATCTGCCACCACAAGCTGCCTGTGTAGGCAAAGAACCACGGCGAAGCAGCTGACTCTAGTATCACACACAGTGTAGATCACTGCTTGACTTGATGAACGGATGCAGGGAAACAATTCTTCCCTTTTTGTTCCAGGAAAGGCTTTTTTTTTTTTATTCTGTCTTAAACCAAGGTCTCACTGCCCATTCATTAATCATCTTAACACTGGGAGGCTCTGCATCGTGCCTGGCCTCTGACGATGCTGGAGACAGGACAGGCAGCTGATCCCACTCTGACTACTCAAGCTCACTTACGGGTATTGTCAGCAGTATTACTCACTACAGGGTAGGTGCCCTATACATTCCTCATGCAAAAATTATGCAAGATGATAAGCTTTTTTTCATACACTTTAACACTAAATTTGCATAGATTTAACAAGCACAAAACTCTATAAATAAATTATGTTTAAATGCAGGCATGAACACTTACTCCGAAGTCTGTAGGTGCCTCATTTGTCAAAGACAAAATGTACTGGGATAATTTTTAAGATACAACATTATGTTTTGCCTTTTCCATTTAAAACCCCATTGTGATTCTGCCCTGTGCTTACGAAACATTTTTTTCCTAGGCTTTCTTTTGAAAGGACAGGCTTTCACTGTTGATCTTTACAAGTTAAAATAAAACACAGTGGCTTCTTACTCAGGTGTTGGTTCATCCATCCATCCATCGGTCATTTCTTAGGCATTTTCCATTAGGACCAGACACTGCGCTAAGCCTCAGAGATGCAAAAGTAAATCAGGTAAAATCCTTCCTCCCACATCCTGGTGGATCACACCCACTAGCTCAGGTTCCTGAAGTTGGGAAAACAGTGTTCTTTTCCAGCCTGGCTTGTTCTGCTCTCTTGTCCATTCTTTTTCCTTCATTCATCCCTGCATCACTCCCTGGGTTTTCAGGAATTAAGATTGAACAGGCGCATCCTCAACGTATGCAGAAGAAACAGAGCGGTCCACATCAAACCCGAGACGCAAAGACAACACCAGCACCCTTCCTTGACCACCAGACCTGCTGATGTCACTGACAGCTATAGTTATTATTCTAAAGACTACTCGGTTCATTGCGAGAGCCAGCCACGCAGTTGTCCTTGCTTCCCTTCCTGGCCCTCAATCAAGCACCTAGGGGTGACTGGAGAATGTCCCGTCTGCTTCCTGAAAGATCCAAACTGACACAAATGAAGCTCCCCTGAGAACCATTGCTCTGCCCTTTCCTGCACCAGGCTTTCAGAAACTCCTTCACCCAGAGACCTGACGCCTTCTCTCCCACCCCTGAGTGATCAGCACTGTGTCTAAGCACAAGGGCCATGTGGACATCCCCTAATAGCTAAGCAGTGATGCAGAACTTGAAGCCCATCAGCTAGGCTCAACGTTCTTGGTCATCAGACCCTGGCAATCTCTCCCAAGCTCCAGAATGTAATGGAATTTAAGTAAGGGAGAACTGTGGTTAGAGCCGAGTTGATCTGATGTTCTCAACTGTGGAACGGGGCTTGAAGAGTTGTGGGAAGGCAAAAACTACCACTTCTTGCTGGTAAAAGGACTATACCTTAAATTTCCTTCAGACATACGCTGTGAGATTTGTGGACACGCCTAGCACCCTTTGTGCCTCAGGTCACGTTGCCGTCTCACAGCATGACTAATCAAAGCAGGCTCACCTTGCCAGCCAGGCTTGCACACTGGCTTCACGTCCACTTGTACCAGGGTGTCCTGAGCAGCAGGTTTCTGTCCACAGTCATAAGCGGTTACCAGGATCTCATACTGACGTTGTTTGTCAAAGCTTAGCTTCTCAGTGTTCCTGATGTTGCCTGAGGATCAGGGATACGCACAATCATTTTTGGTCAAATGAAGCATTTATTTCAATCCCTTTTCCATCCCATCAACCTTTGGAGGGGAATGAAATGTCCCCCCTCCCAATTCTTTATGAAAATAAAGGTCAAGCAAGAATGTGGGCTGCCACATATAGTCTCTGGGCTTTCAGAAGAGCACTGGCTGGAGCCAGCTCTCTGTGCAATAAAAGAACTTCTAGAGAATTCCAAGCAGCACCTGGAATCCAACTGGCCTGAGCTTAAAGTAATGAGTTACCAGAAAGCTACCTGAAAGTGCACATGTGTGTCTCGGGTGCTGGGCTCATCTTCCATGAAGTTTCTGGGAAAGAGACGGAATCCAGACAATGTCCTGGCACATAATTTTTAGCGTCTGGGCTTGTCGCCAGGAATACTTACTGCCTCTTCTCACATTATTTTGCTACCAAATAGGAAGTAAAATCAATAAGAAAATGTGTGACCTCTCTTCTGAAAGCTGCATAGAATAACAGATTTCTTGCCCCGAGGAAGGAGACATTTTTCTTCGCCAAGAGAGAACAAACAGTGTATTCACAGCCGTTTGTGTGTGTTTGCCTCAGAGGAGTTTAATATTATGATTAGAAATAAATATTTGGTCATTAATGAGCGAAACTTAGGCTGGCTGGTCTTTTCGTTTGTTTTGTTGTTAGTTTGATTTTGATGGAATACTATTCTTATTCTATAGAAAAAAAATAAAGACACCAAACTCAACACATTCAAGTGTTTAGTGCTAAGACATGAACATCACAAACTTCTAGGACTCATTTCCTTCCAATATTCATATTCTCTCTCTCTCTCTTTCAACTTTGATGATAGCAGTGACAGCAAATATGAATGAACTCAGATGTTATCATCTCTTACGCAAATTGAAAATTTGAAAACAGAACCAAAACAAATCAAGAAACACAGAATGGCAGATTCTGATACCTATTTTATAATTCCCTAACATTAAAGATATTTGTGTAAATAAGCTTTCTTCATTTCTACAGTTAAATATTATTCATCTGAATTGGGGGCATCTACTCACAAAAGTTTCTTGGAAAATTGGCAAATCAAACTTTGCTCTGAAGACCAGAGAAGCTGGTTCATCAATCCCATCCAGCAGTGTATCACGGTGGGGAAGTGGAGGCTGGTCGGTGTCAGAGAGAATGCAAAGGCACCCAAGAAACTGGAGCCAAACCCCACCTTAGCTGTGTTCTCTCAGCTATTTCTGGAAACACAGCTGTATCTATTGATGTAGAACAGTATTTTCAGAGTAAAAATGGGCTTCCTATGTTTCTGTCTTCCTGCCTGATAGGTAGAATTCCTTGTGTTTCCCTCCAGATGTTGGTTTTAGTCTGAAGGCCTGCACAGGTCTGGAATGACTCCTAGGATGGGTAGCATTCCCTACAGCAGCTTTTCTCTACCTACTGGTTGCAGCCTCTTTCCCAGGGTTCACCTAAGACCATCATAAAATATACATATTGGCATCACAATTCATAACAGTAGCAAATTACAGTTATGAAGTAGCAAAGAAAATAATTTTATGATCGGTGGTCACCAAACATGAGGAACTATATTAAAGGGTCACAGCACTAAAACAAACAAACAAACAAACAAAAAAACCCTCAGAACCTCTATCCTATGGACTCTGCAAACTGGTCTGTGGCTGTTCTCATCACAGGAAGGGATTCTGCCAAGTTCATTGCAAGAAATATTTCTGCAGCACCAGCCTGAATTCTGAACTAAAGTCTTAACTTTCTTCAGGGTGAAATGACTCTGGAAAGGTGGGCCACTTAAAAGAGGGGGACTCAGGGTTGACAATCCATGTAGCAGTAAGCAGACAAAGCACTATTGATTGTAGCCAAAAAGGAAACACACAAACTGAATCTTTGGCTCAATTTGTTGCGGCTCTACTTCCGGAACAAGTCTTAATGAAACTGTCTGGGAGACTAATTTACTTTCCCCACCACCACCAACTCCGTGCATGTGTAAATGAGTTTCAAAGAAAAGAACTTGAAACATTAGGTCACAAATGAGAGTATAATAACCCGGCTCACTGTTGCATAGGAGAAGGTTTCTTGAGGAGAAAACAATCATTTAAAACTCGTTGAAAGCTCAGAGAAATTCGCCATCTTTGTGTCTGTTGCAAATGTATCTTTTATTCCACCTTTGAGAGAGCTCCTACTTCCTGGCTGCTTGCTGGAGCTGGGCCACAACAAACTCAGGTAAGCTGTGGTCTTAGGTCTGCTTAAAGTCTAAACGAACTTGGAAGCTAACCAATAATGGCCAATGAGAACTTACTTTGAATTCTTTAAAAAAAAAAAAATTAAACGTTGAAGAGGAAGGTGAACTTAGCACAGTGCTATGCACACTCTTGCAGGTAGAATTTAAGTTGTAGCTACCATTCTGGAAATGTGTTTAAGATTAAGACTGAGTGTGTGTGTGTGTGTGTGTGTGTGTGTGTGTGTGTGTGTGAAATTGCTCAGACCTTTGCAGATGCAATTTCTCATCTAAAAACTTGGTCTAGGAAAATGATAAAGGACAACAAGCTGCAGATACATGTGTGATTCTGTTCATCTAGGTGTTCTTTACACACCCAAAACTAGTCTGGTAGTTAAGAGCAAAGGAAGGTATGAGTCTATACATGGAATGATGACCAGGTGGGAAATACAGAGGATTTTTAAGGATGAGTAATATACAGATAATTCATTTTAAGCAAAAAAGAGAGGGGAGAGCAAGGATAACGTGGCCTTATTTTATTTAAAAATTTTGCAGAAATATGGTAGACTATTAATCTGGTTACAGTGTGTATGTATGTGTGTGTGTGTGTGCATATTTGTGTGTGTAGGCCAGAGGTCAATGCTAGTTCTCCATCTCATTTTTTTTTCTTAAAGTCTCTCTCTGAGCCTGACACTGGCCTATTAGGTTAAACTGTCTAGTCAACAAGCCCCAGGGACTGTCCTGTCTCTATCCCCACCCCCCGGTGTGAGGTTTCCAGGAATGTGTCATTGAATCTGACTTTCACAGGGTGCTGGGAAGAGAACTCAGGTCCTCATGCTTGTGTGGCAAATGCTTTCTCACGGCGCTGTCCCTCAGCTCCCAGAACTGTTTCTGTATTTGGTTTTGGATGATGCCTGACTTATGTCTGACTCTCATAATTTTGTGTTTTCCAAATTTCCCACATGGGTTATTTCTCTGTTCTCTATTTACAGCTTACCTAAAGAATGTGCTGGATTTGGGACACGTCAACTTCAGTGTCCTCAGTGGCCTAGAATTCCTAAGAACAACCTTTACCTGGAGAGACGCGCAGCTGAGATCACATGGAAACCAAATGACTGCGCACACGTAGAAAACTCCGCTGAGGCTTGGGCGTCATTGTGCCATGGAAACCCTTGATACTGCCTCCTCTCTCATTCCCTAATGTGGTCCAGTGAGTGGCTGTGCTGCACAAATGCACTCAGATACTTAATTCTAAGCTTACTGATAAAGCTTCAAGACAAAGGTGAGCTAGGTTTCAAGGACTCTCATGCCTGCTCCTCCCAGATGACGGATGAAAGGAGATCCAGCTTTTGTGTGCTTCCCCTGGATGTATAAGTCACATCTGACAAACACTATATATTTAGGGCACTGTGCTGCCAGCCTTTTAGTCACTGTGACGTGTATCTGATAGGAACAACTGAAAAGAGGAAAAGATAGATTTTGAATCATGGCTTCAGAGTTTTTAGCCCATGGTCAGCTGACTCCATTACTTTTAGGACCATGATGAGGCAAAATGCCACAGTCAAGAGCATTCAGTGGGCAAAGATGCTTGATTCTTAATGGTCAGGAAGCAGAGAAAGACAAGAGACAGGCTAGGGACAAGATACACCCTGCAAAGGCATACTCCCAATGACCCCCTTCTTTCAGGCAGACCCTACCTCCCAGTTCCCACACCCTCCCAACAACACCACCAGAAGATTAATCTTCTGATAAGGTCAGAGTTCTCCTGACCCAACCATCTCTCCATGACTGTGTTCATTAGTAGGAGACGAAGTCTTAATATAGAAACCCTTTGGGTGCCTCTAATGTCTATACTACAAGTGGACAGTGTGTCGGCTTGATATAACAGCACACCTTGAAAGGGCTCCCATAGTCAAGACTTTAATATTTAATATAGGTATAGCCCACAAAGGTATGTGTGTGTATTTGAGGATACTTGATATCTACACTCAGCAAAATTCAAACTATAATGCATATAATCCATAGCAGCTGTGATTGTCATAGTCTCATTAGGTCCCCAATACCGATTTCCCTTAGAGCCGAATGCTTGCACACGCTGACTGATGTCTCCCATTGTTCCCACTCCTAAGTCCCTAGTAAACACCACCCTACTCTCTAATACTGTGAGTTCAACTATTTCTCTAGCTCCACATGTACATGAGATTATAAAATATTAGTTGTTCTCTCTTGCTGATTTTACCAAATATGATGCCCCTTATGCTATCCAACTTGTTGCAATAAACCACTTTCTTTTTTTTGAAGGCTGAATAATTTCACAATGTGCATGTCTGTATGTATCACTGCGTGTGTGTGCGAGCGTGTATGTGTGTGTGTGTGTGCATGTGCGTGTGTGTGTGTGTGTGTGTGTGCATCTCTTTCATTTTCTTTTCCATTTATCTGTCTACAAATACCTTAGGGTTTTATGTCTTGGCCACTGTAAATTATGTCGCAATAAATCACAGGAGTGAATTATCCCCTCAAGAAAGCAACTTTATTTCCCAGGACCCGGAGTGTTAGATTATACAGTAATTCTACTTTTAGTTTTTGTTTTCTGTAATGAATGGCGGTACAAATTTGTTTCCCAACCAAAGGTATACAAGGTCTTCCTTTTCCTCAACCACCTTACATAACATCGTGATCCGAATCTCTTGGCTTTTTGATAAAGGTGATAACTATTGAAGGGTGACATCTCATTGAGGTTTTAATTTGTGTTTCACTTACGG